AAATATGTAAAGCCGGTGCTAAAATTAACATTGGCCTACTGCTTGTACTAATAAAGTGCCAAGGGCCTAAGTAGTCACCTTAATATTTAAAAAAAAAAAAATTTATTAATGAACCTATAATGAATCTGCTAATGAATATAAAACTTACTAAGCACTTACCACTAATTCATCATTAATTTTTTTAAAAAAACTCTATTGTTAAATAAAATTTCTCTAAAAAAAAAAGTTTATAATATGGATGATTATGACTATAATGAAGCCAATACGGATAACTATAACTATAATAAAGATAATACAATAAGTCCTGATGACTCTGCTTCTGCAATTGTTAGATCAGATACATTAGAATCAAATGTTACTAACCCAACTAGTTTATAAAAATATACATCTTCTGTCTAGGAGCATTATTCTTTAATGATAAATGAACAAAAAGCTATATGTAAATACTGTAAAAGTAAACTTAGCCATAAAAAAGGCACCAGAACATCTCATCTTTAACATTATCTTAAATCATGTAGGAGGTATTAAGCATCTAATAGCAATTCATCAAATCCACCAAATTAGGGTGTGTGGCATGGCTGTTATGGGCATGCCATCATGGCATGCCAAGAGTAGTATGCTATAGGGCATGCCTTAAAAGAGAATTGATATAAGGCATGCCACTTATATATAATCAATATATGCGTATATTCATTTTTAAAAAATTTTGAAATAATAAATAGTTGATGAACATAAAATACAGGCAAGGGTGCTGGAAAATTTCAGGATTTATAAATCGTCTGGGATTTTAATAATGGTGTATCACTGGCATGCCAGGGTGGCACTTGGCATGAAATTTGTCAGATGGCATGCCTTATAGCATGCCAAATTTCTTTGCTGTGCCATATATCCTACACCAAATCTATCAGATGGTCAAATACAATTAGATTTTAGTATATTCATTTTATGACTATCAAAAGACTTATGTCGTAAAAATATAGTTGACATGATAATTAGAGATGAACTAAGTTTTCAGTTTGTGGAAAAACAAGGATTTCAAAATTTTCTTAATGAAGTATTGCCTAATTTTACTATTAGTGCTGATACAGTAAAACAAGATGTTATAAAAGCCTATGATAAAAGAAAAGCTTTTATTAAAAAAGAACTTCAAAATGTAGATAGTAAAATCTCTTTAACTTGTGATATTTGGACCTTGGTTTAGCAACTTGGATATTTGGTGGTTACAGTGTATTTTATTAATAAAAACTGGAATCTTGTTTTTGTTTTACTATCATTTAAACTGATTCTGTTCTCTCATTCTGGGTTAATATTGCTAATTGTGTTAAAGTTGAAACAGATAAATATTTAATTACTAATAAGATATGCTACAAATATCAGAAGTTATTACATAATGATAATTGTAATTAGCCAATTATATATTTTTCTGATATGATATGATAGAGTAATTTATAATGATAATATTTATTAATTCTGACTTATTTTAATAAAATTTTCATTATTTATATAATAGCTACAAACTATTACTCTTGATAATGCAGGCTCGAATAATGTTACAATTTATGAATTAGTTGATTATATCTCTCAAGATTCACTTATTAATATTAATAAAAAACTTTTCCATAATCACTATTTTGCTCATATTTTAAACCTTATTGTAAAAGATAGTTTAAAAAATATTTTAGGAGCAATTAACAAGGTAATTATATATTATCTAGCTTCTATTTAATAATTTTTAATTTTTTATTTAATTTTTTTTAGATTCGCAACTGTGTTAAAGCAATACAATCAACTTCAAGATGATGTCAAGCATATTTAGATATTTGCGAATATGAATTTGAAAATCCTATTATTCCATCATTAGATTGTGATATCCGTTAGAATTCTATCTTCACAATGTTATGATCAGCAATAAAAATGAAGAATATGATTATTCAGATGGAAGATCGTGATTGAACTTTTCCTGATTTACCTGAAGAAAATAAATGGATAAAGCAGATAATATTTGTACTATTTTAAAACTATTTTATTTTTATTTTATTTCTTTCTTTGATAACTGCATACTAAAATTTTATTAAATATTCACTACTTAATACAAGACTAAGCTATTTAATAATCTAATTAGACCAAAACCTAGCTGTCTTTTCGAAATACCCAAGTTTGGCTACTGCACTGATATTGGCCACTATATCCTATATACATTGTAACATATTTAAAGATATGATCTAGCCTGGGCTCAGCTTCTATTAAATAATTACAATCTTTTAGTCCACCAACTTGGTGGGTTAGAACTTAAAATCCTTTGCCTTACTGCAACCTTTGACAAATGTCTTACTTCTGACTCTACCAATTGATCTACCCCTACTATCTTTATTTGCTTCTTCATCCTAGGTTGGACCTCACCATTACTACTTTGACCAGATATGATATTCTTCTTCCTATGAGGTCTTTTCTTTTCTTCGCTTTTCTTTGGTCATTTTTCCTTGGCACTAATATTATTTTCTTTTTCCCATACGATAAATTTTCTGTATCTATCACTCTATACCAATCTATGAAAGCATTCTTGCATACTAAATCTAGCTGCTTTTAGAGTTTCTAGTGCTACAGCTTCATTCTTTAAAATGTTACTCAACCACGAAAGTGTGCTGTGTTTAAAAAGACCCTTTGACAGAAGACTATACACATTGACTCTCTCAACTAATATTAAACTAAGAACTGCTCTCTACAAGTCTTGTACTGTTAAAGCTACTCTATACACTTCATCCATCAATGCCCAAGCTAGACTAATGCTAAACTTCTCGATTTTTATCCATGTCTCATTTAGTGCCTAACACTGCATGAGGTGATCTGCATTTTCCTCTTTATTATTTTCATACAGGACACAAATAGGATCCAGATACATGGAAGAACTTCTTTTTTAAAACCATTTTATGATTGTACATTATTTATATATTTATTTAATAAATTTATATTACTGTAAGTAAATACATATTATTAGTTTTGTTTAAAGAATTTTTTTTTTTAAAAAAAACAGATACTCTAAAATTATTGGCAACTCCTATCCAACTCTCAACAATACATTCGCTTCTATTTTAAATATTTGTACTTATCTTCTCAATATGAGATATCATACTAATAACTTTATCCAAAATATTTCTAGACCTATGATGGAAAAGTTTAATAAATATTGAGATAATAGTAATTTTTTATATATTATTGCGTTCATACTTGACCCTCATTATAAGTTGCAATTTATTTTATTCTTTTATTGTGAAAAAGAAAAATTAGAATTAAATAAACTTAATGAAAAAATGCAAGATATTAAAAAAAAAGTATATATTTATTAATTTAATTATTTATAACTTTATACTATTAATATTATTTATAATTTAATAATTAGATTCAAAACCAACTTGTCACAAAGCTATTAGTGTTAAAGATAATACATTAATACTCGAAGATCATATTAGTAATTTTTTTAAATATAAAATTCGAAGCTCTCAATCTAATGAAAATAATATGTTTTATGAAGTTAATCAATATTTAGATAAACAAACTGCAACTAAACCTACTAACATTCTTGAATAGTAGAAACTCAATGAAGATTGTTTTCCAACTTTGTCAGTAATAGCCCAAAACTTTATTGCAATACTATCTACTAGTGTTGCATCTGAACAAATGTTTAGCTATGCAGGACATATTATCGATGATTATCATGCTTCATTAGACCCAGACACAATAACAGCATTAATATGTTAGCAAAATTGGTTAGAGGTAGCAACAAAATTTAGATAGGACTTATAATTCAGTAAAATGTAAAAAAAAAATTAACCTAAACTTGCTATTTTATACTATTTATAGCACTAATTAAATAAATAATTTTTGTTACTGGATTTTTCTATAGATTATGAATTTAAATTTATATTTCTGCTTGATAGAATATTTCAATATTACACCTTGTATCAGCCAAATTTCAATAACATAGATAGAATGCTAATAAATTGCAAATAATGCATCTTATATCAATTATAATTAGCTTTTTCGCTTCAACAGGTTATTAGTAATAACTAAATATGGCATTTTTTTTAAAAAATAAAATAAAAAAAAAAAAAAAATAGAAAAAACCAAAAAAAAAGAAAAAAAATAGAAAAAACCAAAAAAAAAAGAAAGAATATTTATACTGTTTATAAAGTTGAGAATTTTTTAGTATAATAGATATATATATATTTTTATCCTTCTTTTTTCTCTGTAAGAAAAACTCTTACTATAAATTTTTAATTGTAACCATGCTTGATTTGATAGAGAAAAAACTTGCTAATTATCATAATCCTAATAAGAATAAAGTTGAAGCGAAGTCTAAAAATTATAGTATTTGAATTAATATTTTATAGTGATAGTGTTAGTAAAATGTAAAAGTTCAATTTGCAATAGCTTTTGAACCAGTTAAGCTTGAGTATTATTTTGATTCTTTTTTCAATTAAAAAGTATACATTTCATATTCCAATCTTGCCATTGGCATGTTAATGTATGATTAATGAATATGAGATATTGTAAGTTAATATATTTTTATTATTTATTTCATATGAAGTCCAAAGTCAAGCTTTATTAATTAATTTAACTAAAATATTTATTTTTTAAAATATTATAAGCTGTTATTTGCATAACAGCTCTATAACTTTCAAAACTTTCCAGCTGTTCAAGATCCTTTTCATTAATTATTATTCATTTTATGTTCTAAAAATTGCAATTTTATTTTTATTTAATAAAAATTTCAAAATTCTCAAAATGTGTATTTAATAATAGAAATCAAAGAGTGGAATCAAAGAGTGGTAATGAAAATTATGAAGCTTTAAGTAAATATGTCATTGATTTAATTGCTCTAGCAAAAGACAATAAATAGCATATTTTACCTGTTCAAAAAATTGTAAGTGAAAGAGAATTTCAAAACTATCATTACAAATATTTTATTTAATACCGTATCATTTAAATAATCAATCTTTTGTTACATGCAATTGACTATTCTATTATTCTGAACATTTTAATTTAATATTAATATATCTTTCAAATAATCAATAAATTATATATTTCAGTCCGGGGATATAGCAAATTTGAATATGGACGATCACACCTTGTTTAGTAATGATCACTGATCAGATGTTTCTAGAATTTTAATAAGTAATTCATCTGATTGGCTAGTACAGTAGTATAAATCTATTTTCTAAATACACGTAATATTTCACTAAAAAAAAAGTTTATAGATTTAGTATTTTTACGTAAAATAAACTTTTTAAAAAAAAATTTCTTTTTTTATTCATTTTTATGTTAAATAGTGCTTGGTTCAAGCATTTTGTTTGCCAACGATTGCAGTAATATGACAAGCCAAAATAAAAATCTCAATTACTGCTTCCCGATAGTCACTTCACTGATAGGCCATTTACCTGACATCACGTAGGATTAGAATTAGTATTTTATTAGTTGTTGGTATATATTATTGGTAAATCGTGTCAGGTAATAGTTTGTTAATGAAGTAACTATCAGAAAAATGAGCGGCAACAATATAGATTTATTCAAATATATATTTATTTAGATTTATATACAGTATTTATTTTTAATAAAATAATTTAGGCTTAATCTAATTTATTAAAATTAAATACTTATACTATATAGTAATTTATTTTTATTAACATAAAATTGAATTACTTCAATCAATAAATATTCGCTCGCCTGGAGTAACACGATTAATAAATACTGTAAATCAAATCTTCAATAACCCTGTAGCTTTATTCTAAATCATTGATTACTGGATTAATAAATATTTATTTCAGTGGATTCATATAATTAAACTAAATTAATATAAGTTTTAAATAAATGTGTTGCGATCAGTTGAAGAATAAAATAATATAAAAACCACACTTACATATTTTTTATTCATAAAAATGATAACTTTGTAATCAATCATTCGATTTCCAACTACCTCCAGTCTATTGAACAAGATGTATAATACATGTAACATTCGTTATTCTAAGTACTTCGATTGATAAATAATACACGTAACATTCGTTATTCTAAATACTTCAATTGATAAATGATTATATGGTATTAAGTTTTATGAGCCTAAATAGCTTATTTAAAATATATCAGTTAATAAATGCTCATCAACTGTTTACAATGGCTAATAGTATAATTAAATTAATTAAAGTAAATTAATAAGCAAAAAATTTGCTATAAATCTAAATACCTTATTCTTTAATAAACATTCATGTGCTAGAAAGTTATTACAAATCTAAATAGCTTATTTAAATATTTAAATAATTTAGTAATTCAATACTTGTGTGTTCACTAGATTTAAATTAACAGTATAATATTTTTCAACAAAGTTTGCAAAAACACATTACAGACCTTTCATTCTTGCTTCAAGTAAAAAAAATATTGGTTAAAATACTACAAACTATGTCTTCTAATTTAAAAAGGTATTTAAAATAAAGCCTTAACTTTCGTCTCATTTACCTTTTTTAAAACGAGGTATTGTACGGGATTATCTGGGATTATAAAAATAGACGCTTTATACTATCTTTTTACATATCGTTTGGTGGCAATGAATATGTAAAAATTTTGTGAAACCATGGTGAGTTCATGTAAAAAAAAGCTTAAGGAACCAATAAAATTCACAGATTTTCATTTCGATTATTCTAGAACTGTATTTTCTAATTTGGTATATCCCTGGACTGTATTTATTGCTACATACGTACAAGTGTAGTTGGTATTATGCTTTTACTATGTATCAATAAAATAGGTTTACTATG